ATCAGTTTGATAATTCTTAAAAAGTAAGACTAATTTACATAATATTAGATATAATTAATTTATAGATGACTAATTATTTTTTTTTAGAATTTTGAACTGCTATGATATCAGTTCAGTAAGGTATTAGAGATTACTAATTATTTTTTTTATTATTTCAGGCTGCTGTGATATCAATAAAGGTATTATACTAAAATAGTAAAATCAATTTTTTCGAAAAATTTTATTTAAAGACTTTTAATTCATAATTTATTTGAATAGAGTTTAAAGTATAAGAATAATCTTTATATGGTTTTGAGACCAGATTATTTCTCCTATGTAAACTTTTTTTTTATAAATAAGTGCAATTTTTAGTGAAATAAAGCTGAATTTTGTATTTATTTATTTATTTCTTTCTTAATTTCTTAATACAATTTATAACAAGATAAAGCTGTAAATTTGTATTCTATTTTTTAAAAAATCTAACATTATTACTACTCAATTAATTGGAATTAAAAAAATAAGTCTTTTTTAGCTTTTATATAATTATATTAACTGAAAAAACTGTTAATATTTAAGTAATAGTAAAAGAAATAAGTATTAAAAAATTTAAATCTATTATATTAAATTATTATTAATACTATATATTAATAATATTATAATTTTTATAGTTTTAAAAATATTAATTTATTTATAATACTGTTTCAAGTCAACTTGAATTAAGTCGAATTCGAGTTGAGTTTAAATTAAGTCAAGTTAAATATTAACTTGACTCAAATTCGATTTGACTCACAAATTATCGAGTTAAAAAAATATAAACCTAACTTGATTTAAATTTGACTCAGCTTATCTAACTCGTGAGTTAATTCGACTTGTCTAGAACTTTAGCTGCTTATAAATCAAATGAGCCAGCTTATTTAGGATTAGTTTGAGTTACTATAAAATGAGCTGTAAGCTAAATAAGTTGACTTATATCGTAGCTTAGCTCGTGATACAGCTTAGCTTATTAGCTTATATTTTCTTCTTTAAAGAAAATAAATCTAAAGATGATTTTTTTTGAAGAAAAACTGCTTCAATGGCATTAACTTAAAAAAAATAGCCCTAGTGACATTTTTGAAGAAAAATGATCCCAATAACATTTTTTTTGAAGAAAAATGGCACAGTGATATTTTCTTGAAGAAAAATAGCTCCAGTGACATTTTCTTTAAAGAAAAATAGTACTGGTAATATTTTCTTTAAAGAAAATGAACTCAGTAATATTTCTTTTGAAGAAAAATGAATCTGATGTCATTTTTTTTTAAAAAAAAATGCATTTGGTAATGTTTTTTTAAAGAAATTCGCTTCTAAAGCATTTTTCTTAAAAGAATTGCTTTCAGAGCATTTTATTTGAAGAAATTCACTTCTGAAGCATTTTTCATTAAGGATTTCACTTCCAGAGTATTTTTTATTAAAGATTTCACTTTTAGAATGTTTTCTATAAAGAAATTCACTTCTGAAATATTTTCTATAAAGAAATTCACTTCTGAAGCATTTTTCATAAAGAAATTTACTTCTGAAGTGTTTTTATAAAAGAATTCGCTTCTGAAGTATTTTTTTAAAGAAATTTGCTTCTGAAGTATTTTCTATTAAGAATTTTACTTCTAAAGCATTTTTCTTGAAAAGATTTGCTTCTGGGATGTTTTTCATAAAGAAATTCACTTTTGAGATATTTTCCATAAAGTAAGTTAAAGTATTTTAAAATTTTAACCAATTAAAGTTATTATATTATAGATTAATATAAAGCAAAAATTTTAATTTTGATGAAAAAATCTTAGAGCTTCTTTTTCTAGTAAATCTCTCATATAATATACATAAATTTGTATATACAAATTATATATAATATACTTAATTTACATATTTTCATGTATTCATAATTCTGTCTTTTTTCTTATTTTTTATACATAATAATTATGTATATATTATATATTACTTATAAATATCAAAAATGTATTATTTTCGTATATAATTTTGTATACAAATTTCTTATAAGGCAGTAAACATACAATATATTATGAGTTCAAAAATATTAAATATATTTCTACTCTTCTAAAAAAGGTTTTTCTTTTGACTTAAAAAATAAAGGATTTTTGTTTATCTTGAACATGTGATCGTTTGCATTACAACTAGAAAAAAATTGTTTTTTTAATAAAATAATACTTTAGATATTTAGAAATACCATATGTATATAGTCTCATAATACATAACTAATTACCCTTATGATAAAGTACTTATTCAAGGTTTATATTAAATAGTAATTAGTGTTAAAGAAAAAATCAATATCTATTTATTTACTGAAAATTTAGATCATTTATATTAAAAATTTTAGATAACTATCTATATAGTAATGTAGATATATTATACAGTTGCAGTTGGGTTTTTTAATAAGTTAATGATTCAAAATATATCTCACATGATATTCAAAGGGATTTGAAAGAATATTTTCTAAAACAAATTTTTTTAATTTTCATAAAGCTTAGACTTAAATCCTATTGAAAATGTATAAATTATATTAAAAGAAAAAATAAAGAAAAGATCAAATATTTAATAATAAAAATTCATTATCTATGATATCTTTAGAGCTTTAAAACAGGTCAGTTTAGATCATATTAATTAAGAGGATCAAGTTAAGTTAAATAAAAATCTGATTTGATTTTAATTTTCATTTAATCTGACTTAATATAACTTGACTGAATTGTTTAAGAAGAATAATTAGCTTTATTCAAAAAGAATATTAATGAATCATTCTAATTAAATCATAATATATCATTCAAGAATGATTGATTAACCTGAATTTTATCAGGTCAGGTCAGATCAAGTTAACCTATTAACCTGAATTACATTAACCTAAAAATCTATTGATCTGATTTGAATTTTTAGGTCAGATCAGGTCAAGTAAATAGGTTAACCTGACCTGATTCAGAGCTTTAGATATATTTCTTAATACAATTTAGTAGAAATAGAATAATCTTGATAATGTCATATTATTTCAGTATATTAAGAGTATGTCAAGCTAAGTTAAAGTATATATCAATGCAGAAGGAAGACATACTAAATATTAAATAATATAAAAATTACCATTAGTATAAGTTTACATTAAAATAAAGTTTGTATACATAGTCAATATATGTTTCTGCCATTCTTTTTGTTAGGGACTGTAATTATCAAAAGATATAAGAACTGCTATAGGAAGAGAAGGTGATCCTTGATCTTATTTTATATTAATGAAATATATAAATATTAAATAAAAGAAAGTATTAATGAATTACATATTTTAAAAAGAAAATTATTCGCTCTGACTCATAACAGTTTCCATTTTTTATTAAAATATTATTATTATACAATTGTAACATTATAATTAGTTTTAATTTTAATACATATATTTTAATATGCTATATAAATTATTTATTATACTAAAGCATTATGTATATTATGTATGATTTCAATATTAATATTAAAGAAATTTTAAATAATCTACAAGCTAATTATTATGCTTAAATGATAGTCATAAATATAATGATATATAAATATATATTGATAGACATAATTTATTATTCTTGATTATTAAATAGTCTAATCGAAGCTATGCTATTTGTAGTATATAATGTAACAAATCATTAAAATTCAGATTGCCTATTAATTCATATTTAAAATGCTAATATTTCAATGAATATCATCACTAATTTTATTTTGATTGAATGATATCAATACCTTAAATAATATTGAAAAGAGCTTTATCAATCTCAAATGACTAATTCAAATTTGATTTTACAATCAACACTTTTTAAGATTAAAATCCGATATTAAAATTTAATTCAATTTATTCTTTACATATACCTATTAGATCGCCGAGAAATTGGACCGAAAATGTTACATTAAACCCCTGAAAAATTCTCATATATTTATAGATAATCGGTAAAATTTTTACGATATTTCAAGTATGGAATTATATCATTATTTATATTATTATTTATATTAAAGATCAGGTTTTGAAGATCATGATTTAAAACAAGCCATTTAGAAAATCTATTATTCTTTTCATTTTAATCTTTTTTAACTGTAATTTTACACTATCTATTGGAATAAAGTACTATATTTCAAAAATTTGTGAATTAATTATTTAAAAGTATGATTATAAACCAATGTCGATCAAATAAAAGGAGTAAGGAAGCTTAAATGGCGAAGTATTGTGAGGGGTATTAAAAAAAAATGTTTATCTTTAGAGGCGTTTTTTGTGTCGCGATTATAGGTCAAATTTAGTATTATTGAAATTCGTTAATTAGGTAATTCATTGATTCATGTCAAAAAGAGAATTAAAAAAAAAAAAAAACTGAATCTTATGTAATTAAAAAATTTGATTTTATTATTTTATATTCCTATATGCAACCAACTCAAAAAAAAAAAAAATTTCGATCATTAAAATACAAAGTTAATCATAATGTAAAGAATGAGATATTACAACTAAATATAAACTTAACAAAAAAGTAGAAGTGATAATGACTAGTTAGAAAAAATAAATGAAAGAACCTTGTTATTGGTTTTAGCAAGTAGCGATATTGGAATAATAAAATATAAAACCCATCAAGTGAAACGCGTTTTAATTTCTTTTTCTTTCAACGCGTAAGATTAGTGTTTAAATATATACTGCCATAAAAAAAAGTCTATTTGTGTAGACAATGTATTAAAATTACCCAATTTGCCCCTCAACCACAAAAAAAAAAAAAAATCTTATCGAGAAAGAAAATAGGTAAAATATACAAACAAAGAATGTGAAATAATAAAAAAAAAAATTATTCTACAAGAAAAAAATATATATACACGTCATAAATATATATATGAAGAGGATAATTTTTTTTACCCCCATATAATTGTTTTTTAAAAATATTAAAAATATTAACAAGAATAAAAAATAAAAAACCCCATAAAAGTCCAAAATCTAAAAAAAAATCAATGTTTTATTTTCCTTTTCCCTTTTCCCTTTTCTTTTTTTAATGTTGTGTCAAAGTTTCTAGGTCCGTTACATGACGAGATAATCTGCATTGTAATTGCTTCAATCGATCTACCAAACTCGGCATTACTTCCACAGACATTCGAAAATTCTCTCTTCTTTTTTCACTATTGCAAATTTTATTATTGCTTGTACGAAATGACATCAATTTTTGCTTTTTAGCAATATTTTTAGGAACGTTGTAATCATATTGATTTTCTTTGTCATCATCAAAGGACACAAGATCTTTTGCATCTTCGCCTAAACTTTCAACAATGATTTTCTTAAATATTTTCATATGACGTTTTGAAGGAATTTTTTCGATATCGACTTCAACGCGTTTTTCGTCAATGGTTGTTTTGTTATCCGCAACATCTGCAATATCAATAATTACGGCTGCTTCTTCCCAATCCCGTTTATAAAGGTTCTCAAGGTCTCTGAATTTCTTGGAGGATGTACGTAAGAATCCATTTGACCATCGTCTGGTCATTTTTGATTGAATATCATTTGAAAAATTCTCCTTCTTTTCCCGAAGATCTTTTAATTTCCTTATATGTGTTGCGAAATCCTTAATGTTGGAAATATCCATTCTTAATGAGATTTGATTTTCCTCAACTCTCGATGGAACGTTCAATTCGTTCACTTCTATATCAAAATCATCATCCCAACTTTCACTCGGTGTCGCTATTAGGGGGAAAAGCGATTTTTTTTAAAAAAATGTAACGACGAAAAAACAAAAAAAAAAAAAACAAAAAAGCTCTAGAATAAAACTTACGTCGTCGATGATATAGACTCGGCGAAAAATCATGAATATTGGGCGGAGGTAATGAATTACATCGATTATGTCGCCTTCGTGTTGGTGTAGTTGGTGTAATAGGAATGGGCAAAGTGTGTGACAACGCTTTCGCGGATTTATTGACAGGTTCATTGAAACCGGAGTCACTTTGTGAATCCCAATCTTCATCCTCCTCATCCTCTTCGAGCAGTGTTTCCGATACTCCCCGGGAGATGTACACACCACTTAAAGATGGGGAATTGTCCCAATTTTGTGCTTGATGTAGCGTAGCAGGCAAATTGGGCACAGATAACGTCCTTCGATCGCGATCGTTCATTGTAAACACATCCGAACATATGGATGAAACATCATCATCTGCTAAATCAGATAATTGTTCTGGACGTACTGCTTGAAGATGTACCGTTTTAGGAGGAAAAATGAATGTTGATAATGTTGATGATGAAGTTGATAATCCTTCATTTGATTCTTTACTCTTTGAACGGAATAACTTGAATCGTTTCAAAGGACTCTTTGGAGATGAGTTAATCTCCGTACATGAAGTTGATGAATAATTGCTAGAGCAATTACTTATTAATGTATGAATCGAATTTCTGCGTTTTTTAAAGATTGTTGGACGGCCGAATACGTAACCCATACTTGCAGCTGTACCGATTGCTCCAGAAGCGTATACAAGCTTTAAAAAAAAAAAAAAAAAAAAAAATTAGAGGGAAGGAATGCTGCAAGTCGAGTTGAATACCATAATTAAATGGGGTGGTTCATATGCTTTTTCTCGTCTCCTTTTTTTTTTTTTTTTTTTTTTTTTTGAAAGAACTTACCGAGCTTATGGCTCCTCCTTGTGACATGAAGAAAAGCTTATTTTAAGCTCTTACAATAATAGTTGCAGGTAGGATATGGGAAAAAAAAAATTTTTTTTTTCCTTCCCGTTAAAATATTCTCGAGATTGTTATTTTAGGTGAGTTGGAGAAGAAAAAAGGATATTTTCTTCGAGTAGTAAAGTTTTTCTCAGAACTGGTTTGAAAAAAAATCTGTCAAATGAGGAAAAATAAATAAATATATATGAAAAATAATTTTTTCAAAAAATTATCTCTTATTGCGCGTTATTTAAAAAAATTGCGGAGTAAAGAAAATCAAATCCAATGAAAGAATGATTTTATATATTCATCTGCATGCATGCTTGCATCTCCGAAACATGAATAAATCTTTGGTTCAGATGCTTACCGTGATAAGTTAACATAAGTAATTTTTTATATGTATAAACTTGGTAATGAATGAAAAACCCAGTTAATTTGCGGAACGAATTTTTTTTTTTTTATAAAAAAAAAAAAAAAAAAATTTTTTTTTTTTTTTTAACAAAAAAATTCCCAAAAAAAAAATCAAAAAAAATTTAGGAAAGAGAAAAAAGGACAAAAGCAAGTAGGTATAAATAGCTTTCTTTTAAAACGATGGCATGAAATGTATTTATTCCATTGCCGAGATATTATATATATATATTTTTATTTCTTTTTTTCAAAGTCAGTTATTTTCCCCTTAATGCCCTCCTTATGAGTTCTTTGTATTATAATTTATGTTAATTGGAATTAATGAGTATGATCGTCATCATAAATTATTAAGCAATATATTATATATTTGTGATGATGATTTGGGGAATGTGATGTGACTTAAAAAAAAAAATTTATTATTTATTTATTTCTGTGAAATAATGAATGTCCTTTGCCAATTTATTTAGGTAAATATTTTCTTTCATGTTCTGCGGGAGTCTTGTATACATGTGACATTATAGTTAGTATTAATTTGGAGAAAGGATTCCGAAATATAACTAATGATATGGTAAAGCAGGTTAGTGGGTTAAAAAAAATCTCGTGGAGATGAACTGTAATGCACGAAGGTTGATCAAAAAGGCAACGAATTCTCTATACTGTACAAGTGTAACAAAAAAAAAATAATCAAAAGAAATTGGCATAACAAATTGAGCTTCTAATAAGAAAAAAAGAAAAGAAAATGAAAGAGAGAGAATTTCTGCCAATTACCTTGCGACAATATTATAATATATATATTTGTTTTCTTTTTTTTTTATCAATTCGCGTAATTAAAGTATAGGCAATGTTGAAAGAATTTAAAAGGGGTATAAAAAAAATTCAATCAATATGATAAAAAAGGTTAGGATAACTTTTAAATATTAATCATCGCGTGGCATGAAATTTATTAAAGTTTATGCTGAATATCATTGATGAGATTTTCCCGACATTTTAAATTCTCGATTTCTTATTATATATTGTATTGATGGATAATTACGACATTATTACATAGTCGAAATTTTTTAAAACGTATTAGTAATAAGTATTAAGGAATAATTTTTTACCATATTGGAGGGGGTGGGTCGATCTTTTATTATTTTTTTTTGGAGGAAAAAAAAAATTAAACAAATAACGCAAATCTTTATTCACAAAAAAAGGACTTTTGATTAGTAAAATACTTGTTGGAGATGAATTGTCTCACTTGCAAAAAAAATATCCGCAACCCCCTCATTTTGTGATATGACTTTTTTTCTCGCAAGTGTAAAAAAAAAAAAATCTATGATGTAAACATTGGAATTATCGGAATTTCCATGTGGAGAAAAACCAAGGGAAAGCTAAGAGAAAAAAAAAAAAAAACTAGGGGTACTAGGTAGGTAATTATGTCAAGTATGAGACATTATTAAGGGAGTGTGTTTTTAGGATAAACAAAATGTTATTACAACGAAATAATGTACATTATTATGTGTTTTTTTTGTTTTCTGAGAATCTTGGTTCTAATATCAGAATATTTAGAATATTTTAGTTTAGCTCCACTATTTTTATTGTATTTTAAATAAATATAATATTTTTAATTTATTCTTGCGTATTTGTTTCTTATAAAGGAGCCTCAAACCCTTTAAATCTTAAAATAACTTTAAAGTTTATTTCGAGTTAAAAAAAAAAAAAGGTTCAGACAAATTCTTTAAAAGAACAGAAATTTGGAAGGTTGGAATTTTAATTAAACAAAATATCCACAACATAATCATTTTATTTTAATTGGTAAAATTACGACCAAATGCGTGATTGTTTACATTTAGTGCGATCAATAAAGATTTTTTCAACTAGATACCCGGATCTTAAATCAACTAGGTATGGTAATTTAACACATTCCTCCGATTATATCACCTAATTATATTCCTGTAAAGGGAAATATCCTAATTTTATTTGTTTTAATTGTAAAAAAGCAAATAATAATCTCTTATGTTTGTTTAAAATTATTAAAAATAGGATTCTTACAATACATTACATAGATTGTGTATTATTGTGTATTCACCACTTTAAAAAAAGAAGGAAATTCATGTATTGTATGACCCTTTTCAATGTTTGTACTACCGTGTCACCTAATCCGAAATTCTAAATAAAGTAATGAACTATGAACCTTTTTAAATATTTGGAAAGTATTTGTTTGGTGGAGCACGGTCCTTTAAATTTATTTCCTATGTATGAATTTCAAGTAAAAAGAATTCGTGTGTCGAAAACTTTTTGATTCATACAATCAAAAATTTTCTGATAAAAAATAAACCTGTTTGTTTTCTTGATTGTTGTATTTTTTACTCTTACCACTTTTATCACACACCCCAAAAATTCTTTCATTTGTAATAATAAACGGCTATATATTCATGCCTCCTTTTTTTTAATCGCGCCATTTAGGACGTATTTGGCATCATTCATCTATTTGTATCCCCATAAAGAAGATAATCCATTCACACAATAATTCTCGAATTTGGAAATTGTTGGAAAAAAAAAATCATACGATGGAACAGTGAAGAATTTTATCGAGTAATCTCTCGAATTAAATGTCACCAATCTGACATTTCATTTTACAAATTCCACCATTCATGGTTACTATTATGTCAGAGAATTTGAGAATGTTCATTAAATAGAATCGGAATAGATTCACATGCAAACGCGTATAATCGGAAAAGCACGTGATTTGCGACAATCCTCCATTCATTACACCTTTTACAAGGTAGAATCTCCGTTAGATTTGTAGAATTTCTTTGAATCTTTCGATTATTTCTTATTAAGGGTGATATTCTTTTTTTTATGGCCATTTATGGATGGATAAGTTAGCTGTTATAAAATATTAATAATTCACTTCAAAAAAAAAGATATTTTTAGATTTCATTACGTGCGTCGTTTTGGTATTACAAAAGTCCGACCCCTATAAATTTACTTGATGTGACACCCTTCATGAAACAACACCGTCGTGGCCGTTGGCTTTCGATTGAAAAAGACAAATTTAAACACAAATATCAGTTACGGCCATACACAGTGAAAAGCACCGGAACCCGTCCGATCTCCGAAGTTAAGCCACTGATGGCCCAGTCAGTACTACGGTTGGGGACAACGTGGGAATACTGGATGCTGTAACTTTTTGCTTTTTGGAGGTTTTTTTTTTATTTTATCTGAATCCCATAATAATTATAATTTCATAAATTGATAATTTCAAGTGAAAAAAAGTTCTTTAATCATTCGAAAATATACTAGAATTCTGCCTGAATGCTCTTTTAAATTTATCAAGCATTTGGTCCTGGTGATCTAGTTAAATGAAATGACGATTATTTGAGAATTATTCCGGTTAATTTATTATGATTGTACCATGGATGGTTAAGTCGTCATACATTAATTACGTCTTAAAAATAAAAATTTTTTCATGATTTATATTATTATTTTATTGAAAAAAGTTACATCCCTCTCCCCCCCCCTTAAATGTTATTTAAATGGGAAATGGTTCCCTTTAAAATGTAACACTAACCTTTTACCTATAAACAAAATATGTATGTAATTTTATTTTCTAAAAAAAAAAGTCCGTAAAAATAAATTTCATTTTAACTTACTGAAAACACATTGTATTTTCATTGATATTAATCGTTTAAAATATATGTAAATAAAGTCAATTGTAAAATAAAATATATGTTAATAACAAATAAAATACATAAAATAGAATATAATATTTAATTGGACGTTTATTAGCTAAAAAAAAATTTTTTTTTAATCAATTAGTTTTTATAGAATAATAATTGCTTTCGTTGTGTAATAAGGACTCGGATTTTTCGTCTGTAATTTTTTTGATGTTATGATTTTTCTAAACAATGTATATTATATATGTATTTTTTTTTTTTTAAAAAAAAAAAGAATAATTTATCAAGTTTTATTCTCCATCTAATCGAATGCGTGGCCTTAAAACATTGATTTTATATAATATCTTGGTAACAAACAATTTTCAATTTGTCACTACTTTTCGATCGTTAACATTGTCACAATAAGTTTTTTCGCATATTAACCGACATAACGAAATTTCCATTGATAATAAGAAGAATTTTTTACAAACCAACGCAAATCCATCTTCTAACGAATTCACCAACCGATAAAAAATTAATTTTTAAAGAATATAAATTATCAATTCTTGATATATGAATCTTTTTTAAAATATTGTTTCTATTCACTTTTGCGGAATACTCACTTGTTGGTTCGTTTGACATAGTGACTGGACTCGTATTCGTTTAACTCGAGTTAAATTCTGATTCGACTAAAATTTCTTGATTCGAGTCAGAATTCGAGTTGATTCGAGTTAAAA